CCTCAGACTCAGGGAAAGGTCCCAGAAGTTCCCCCTCCCCCCCCACCTACCCTGGGCCATCTGCAGGTTCATATGGGAGACAGGGCAGGAATCTGGCCTTAATTTCCCTGGGAACCAGAACGCAGAAGGCGAACATAGGACAGAATTGTCTGGAATGTCTGCCCACCCTCACACCACCCTCGGGCTTGGGAGTGAGTGGAGGGTGATTGCTAACTCCCATGAAACCATCCTTTCCCCTCCTCTCACAGAATCCCTGGCTTAAGGACAGGGTGGGTGTCTGACCCACTATAGCCTGAGCTTGCCCAGCTCAGATTGGCTGAGATTTGGGATGTTTCCCTCTCCCTGGAGGAGATGGATAGATGGATGGATCTGTGGATGGATTTGTGGATGAGTGGTAGATGGATGGTAAGTAGGTGGTTGGGTAAGCAGGCAAGGAATGAATGGATGAGGGGGTGGGCAGATGGACGGATGGATGGATGGATGGATGGGCAGATGGGCACATGGATGGATGGATGGATGGATGGATGGATGTGATGGACAGATGGTTGGATGGACAGATGGTTGGATGGGTGGATGGATGGGCAGATGGGCACATGGATGGATGGATGGACAGATGGTTGGATGGGTGGATGGATGGATGGATAGATGGATGGATAGGTGGATGGATGGATGGATGGATGGATGGATGGATGGATGAGTGGGAAACTGAGTGGCTAAGAGTGTAAATGAATGGATGGGCTAGCTGCAGACCGGCTCAGGAGGAACTGCGTCTCAAAAGGAACTTTCTAAATCTCTGAAATGTGAGGCCTTGGCACCCCCCAGAGGCCAGAGTCTCTAACAACTCATGTCCCTTAAAGCCCTGAGAATCAGGGGCACAGACCTAGAGAAGGTTAGAGGTTCTGAAAAACAAAAAAAAATCTAGTTCCACTGCTGGAACTTTCCCTGACTTACTCTGGGATCTTGGGAATGTTCAACCCTTCTGAGGCTCAATTTTCTCATCTGGAAAATTGAGCTAATCAAACCTGATGCCTGTGATGTTAGGAGATTTAAACAAAATCATGTATGTAAAGTGTCTGAGAGGGTCATCTGGCATATATCAGGTGCCCACAGAGTGCGATTTCCTTCCGAGAGGCAGCCCTAGGGCACGCGTGCACGTGTGCGCACACACACACACACACACCAGTAAAGAAGAAGGGCACGGAGCGAGAAGGCCAGACCAGATCCAGAAAGGCAGATGGGGACACACTTTAATTCTCCAGGGGTCCCATGCTCTGACAGGGCTGGCCCAGCCTCGGGGCCCGGGCGCTCAGGGAGTGGGGGACTCGGACACGGGCCCTGAGCCCTCCTGGGGCTCAATTTCCTGAGCCTGGGCCAGCTGGGCCGTGTGCTCAAAGGCAGCCTGCAGCAGGCGGGAGGCAAGGCAAGTGGTCCAGGCGACGAGATAGGCCAGGTGCCAGGAGGTGAGCGCGGCTGCGTTCTCCACCCACCAGTACAGACGCTTCAGCAGAGCCAGGAGCTCGGGCACCGCACACTTGTCCAGCAGAGCCTGGAGGGGATAAGCGGATGGGCGGCTGGCCACCAGGAGCTCGCAGGGTGGCATCGCCCCAGTGCCTTGCCCAGTGCCCCAGGCCTGCCCTCAGCAGCCCACCTTGCTGAGCAACCAGACCACGCTGCGGCCATGGGCCCTCTGGCACAGCCTCCTGGTCAGCAGCAACAGCAGCAACACTACCGGCGTCAGGCTGTGTAGACACGACAGAAGCAGCTCCCTGCAGGTGGCCGCGGACAGGCCTAGCTGCTTCCAGGCCAGGCCCGAGGCCCGCACACAGCCCAGCACGCCGGCCCACGCCAGCCACACGGGGACTGCCATCGGTGCCAGCCCGGCCCGTAGCACCCGGCCCACGGGGCTGGCTGCAAGCCCAGGGGGTGGGCGGGCCTCGGGGAGGCAGGACCCCCAGGCCTCCTGGGCCAGCCCCGACAGCCAGCGGTTGAAGAAGACAATCTTCAGAAGCAGGAAATTGTAGAGGTGGATGCGGTTCTGGACCAGCTGCGGGAGCAGGGAGAGCCAGCCCATCGTCACCCACCCGGGGCAGGGACCCTGCCTGCCCCGGGTTTTGCCATAGGGGGTGGGGCTACCGGGCCTCCTTCCCTCGAGGCCTCAGTTTCCCCAACAAGAATGATCCTCATCTGCCCGCCGCTAAGGACTCCACTCTCAGGTGGGGACTGTAGAAGGTGTTTCGTATTACCTTTCATTTTTTTT